CGGCCGAGCCGCGCCTCGCGGGACAGGTTGGGCCGGCGGGGCGGCGCCCGGCTCCGGGGAATAATGAGTGTCTGTCAGGCCGTCCCCGGGTGACTGGGCGGGGCGGGGCGGAGGCGGCGCGGGAGGCGGGGGTGGCGGGGGAAGGGCGCAGGGCGGGGTGCGTGTTTGCGAGTGACTCCGCCGACCCCTCCGGCGGCTGCCTCCACCCAAGTGGGTGGGGACCTGCCCAGCCCAGGCGGCCGCGGCTCCCTCTCCCTCCCTGACCCTCCCACCCCGGGTCCCAGCCTCTACTTACCCCGCCAGCCCCGGGAGGCTCGCAGAGCGAGCGGCGCCGGCGTCATGTGACTGCCCGGAGTTGGTGCCAGGAGCCAGAGGGGAGCCGGGAGCGGAGCCGCGCGGAGCCGGGCCGAGCCGAGCCGGAGCGCAGCGCCCGCCGAGCCGCGCCGCACGCGCGCCCGTGCCCGTGCCCGTACCCGTACCCGTCCTGTCCCCGTGCCCTGCGGCCGGAGCGCAGCGCGGCGCTGACAGTACCACGCTCGCGGGGCTCCCGGTGGCGGGGAGCCGGGCCTTTATTTCTCGTCGGCAGCGCTCGGCACCGCACCTCGCAAAGTAAGTCCCTTCTCCCTTACCTTTCCGCCTCGCCCCGGCTCCCGCGCCCCCCGCGCCCTCCGCCCGCCCGTCTAGCTTCGCCTTTTCCTCCAGGAGGGCGGCGCGGGGTCCGGGGACGCGCGGGAAAGGGCCGGGGGTGCAGGCTGGGGGCGCCTGTGGGCTTGGGAAAGTGCGGCGGCGGCGCCTCGCCGCCGGGGTGGGGGGCGGAGGAGGCGAGGGGGAGGGGACCCAGGTCGGAGGCTGAGCGTGTGGGATGCGGGAGCACCTCGCGGAACCTGGGGCGCGGGGAGGGCGCGGGCGGGGTCTCACCTGTGTGGTCCCCGGCCTCCGCCCTCCCGCGACACCCTCCAAAGCCCCAGAAACCTCGGTGCTCCGCGTGTGGCAGCGTTGAGAGGAGAAAGGTAGCACCGAGGCCGCGCGCTCCTGCTCCTCCCTCTCCTGCCCCCCCAAGAGCTCGGGCTCCCGCGTCCTTCCCCTCCCCGCCCGCCACCCCCCCTCCCCCCTCCCCCCTCCGCGGACGGGGTGCGCTGCCCCTGCCGGCCCAGCAAACTTGGAGCAGCCTGCCAGGCCCTCTGGAAAGAAACTTGGGGCTGTTGGGACTGAAGGAGCATCCCTTTCTGGGTCCTGGAGCCTGGGAAGTGCCAGGGAGTCCGGGCTCTTCGGACAGTGGAAGAAGGCTGGCCGGGTTTGGAGAGTCCCGGGGGGCACGGAGAGAACCTGCCGCAGTGCCTGGGGCGAGGATTGATTGCAGTGGGACTGGAGGCAGACACTGTCCTGCTCACAGCCTGCGGCGCTAGGGACCCGAGCCTGGTAGGGACCCGAGACTGATCCCTGGACCTGAACCCATGGGACCTACGGAACATTTCATAGTGGTTATCTTGGAGATGGCAGATAAGACCGGGAATTGTCATATCCATTTCTTTGGCAGATAACAGACACTTTTTTTTTTTTTTTGCTTTAAATTTTGCAACCCTATACAGTATTGGATGAAGAATCTGAATGAGACTATTTCTAAGTCGGCTTAAGGGGATATTGGAAATTCTCACCTTTTGTATGTCACTAAAATAAACGTTCTAGATTGAATCACTGAATTTTTTTTTTTACTGACTTGGATTTTATATTTTCCACTGATATTAGCCACGACATTTTAAATATATTGTTTATACTCCCAGGAGAGCTTGGTATATGGGGCTGGGGGATGAAGTGGCATTCTGACTTCATTTCAATTTAGTGGGACATAGGCCAGTTGTTCACTATACGTTTTTCCACACACCATTTTTCTGCTTTTTCTGAGTGTTTTGTTTTACGAATTTGAGGAGTATTTTTATAAGAGAACTCAGTCCTGATGATACTCTGCTTCAACCTGAGGAAGCCTTGTTCTTAGGGAGAAAACAAACCGGGAACATTAACGTCCAGAATTTTGCAGGTTCATGGTATTGTTTAAGGAAAGAGTCCTCCGGTGATTTCCTTGGCTTGAAGCACGAGGTGTGTTAGTTGACTTTAGGCTGTTAATAGAAACCTGGAAGATGTTTGATTAATTTAAACTCCCTAGAGAAACTGCTTTCTCAATTTCTAGTCGGTGGGGTTTGCTGCAGGACTATGAGAAGGAAAAAGGCTAATGTACTGTGGGTTAAGTGAATGAGGATGTGCTATAATGAACATTGGCTTGCATGAAGGTGAATACAAGAAGTGCGGTGTGAGAATAACAAAGAAAAGTAGGTACTTAGATCTCAAAACCTTGTCGGATATAAAACAACAGAGCTTTGGAGAAAGCTATTGTTTTTTCTTCACTACAAAGTTTCTAAATTAAACCCAATCTTGTTGCTATGGGCAAAGCAATGCTTTGTTATTTTTTACTTTTTTACTTGTAAGGTTTACACACCAACCTTGAAATCTCTGATAATGGAAATCTGAGTTAAATCATCCTGGCCAAGAAAGTAAACAAGACAGAAATGAGACTATAAATGGACTTCACTACTTTAAACATACCTAAAGGAAAATAGACATTTTGGAGTATTTGGTAAAAATTGGTGTTCCAGTTCACAGACTGCATAACAATTTTGGATTAAGTGAAATGTCAGTGATGATCATATTCTCAAGAGGTGGATTTCTCTAGATGTGTGTACATATAGAACAGATAAGCTGCAACTCTGTCTATAACCACATTTGGAAAAGACAGTGACAATTTTGAGTGATTCTAAATGGCCCACAGTCTGTGTCTCGGATTTTAGTTCTGTGACTGAGGGAGGCTTACAATTGGTCCAGTTTCAGTTATGTGGGGTAACCCAGTTATAATCTCAGTTCTTAACAGCAGTGCTGTATCTTGATTTTCCTTGTGATGTGCTCAGGCTAAATGATAATCATTACCCTAACCCAGAATTTGGTCAGGGCTGGGGACTAGCCATTGGGATGGGACCAAAGGGACAAAAGAAGTCCGAAGGGAGCTGGTGTTACTTTGGAAGGTCTCTGCTGCTCACATATGATAAAATCACATGTGCACTTAGGGTGTTTACTGTATGTGGCAGCTCCTGTTTGTAAATAGGGCAGGTCCCCTGTATAAAGCTGGTGTTATTATTCACACCCAAAGAACAAACACCTCCACCCCCCTGTTGTTGTCTTTAAAAACTCCAGCTGCTCATGAATATAGGGTCAGGGAGGGCCGGCTAAATGTTTCTCTGTGCTTTCTCTCCAGCACAGCCAGCAGAGCTGTTTCCTGTTCTTTGTTTCAAGGCTGGGGTTTGCGTCATACATTCCAAGTGGCATATGTGTGCTCTTTCCTGTTTCAGGCTGTTTTCTGGTAGATCAGTAGCCTAGACCAGGCCGTGGTCCCTGCCCCTAAACTCCGAATCCCCACCCAGGGAGTTATCCTGTCTCTACACACTAGGGATTGCTTAAGATGCCTGTGTTATGTCATAATGAGAAGTCAGTTAACCTTTTTACATACACTCTTTGCTCCACTGTGTTTATATGAGTGAATCAATACTTTTACCTTTTAAATTTTTTCACTGCCAGATGGTGATTTTTTTAAAGGAATTTGTGTACATATGGGCAAACAAAAAAATCTTTGGGAGGTTGTTTTTGTGTGTCTTAGTTCTCCGTGAAGGTAGGTAGCCAGTGTTGGTTAAGAGAGGCATTTTGCCCTGAAGCTGTCAATTTTGGATGGGGATTAACACCTTAGCCTAGAAGGCCTAGCATTATCTGAAGGTTGTGACCCACCCTGTCCACATTAGCACGGGCCACTCAAAGTGGGCTTGGGGGGTGGAGGACAGAGAATTGAAGTAATCTTGGCAACCTGGGCCAAGTTAAAATCTTGGTTATGTCCTGAAGGAGAAGTCTTGAGAAAAATGATTCAAGCAAAGCATACCATACTGAAAATCCCAGGATTATTTCTTTTTAAAGACAAAGACTAAAATATCAGGATAATTTTAAGGACAAAGATTTCACTGTATTCTAATTGATCTGATTTCCAAATCATTCTGATTTTTAGAAAACCCTGAAGGAAAAGAACTAGCAAGAAGAATCCACTAAATGATAGTTTGGAAATCTATCGTACATTTAATCGTACATTTTGAAAATAAAAGAATGCTCTAGTTGCGTGTGTGTGTGTGTGTGTGTGTGTGTGTGTGTGGTGTGTATGGGTGTGGGGGGGGTTCTCTTTGGTGATACTAAGGATTGAACCCAAGACCTTCACACCATGCTACATTCCTAGTCTTTGTATTTTTTTTATTTTGAGACAGTCTTACTACATTGCCCAGGCTGGGCTTGAATTTGCAATTCTCCTGCTTCAGCCTCCCGGAGTGCAGGCATTACAGGTGTGCACCTCCACATCTGGCTTCCTATTCCTTTTTAATAACAGCTTTTTCATAATTCCAATTTTTAAGTATATTATCAGTAGTGGGTTAAGAAATATCTGGGTTAATTGTTTAAAACCTACTTTATCAAGTTATTTTTCTCTTGGTTCTTCAGAAACTAAACTTTAAAAAAATGGTTGGAAATGAAAACTTTTGTCAAGTCAACTTATTCTGGAGTTTTCTTTAAAACCTAAAGGAATGATCTACAATGTTCTCTGCTAGAATTACTAAAGAGTTGCTGAAGCAGCAAATCAGGTCTTATATTCCCAAATATTGATGAAAATAGGACTTTGGTTTTAAATATCACATCCCACCATATTTCTTTATGTGTAAAGGAAAAGCATAAAATAGGATGTTTGCAAGGTTACTGGGATCAGATAGTTGGCTACTGATAATCTTTCTTGAAAAATGGTGGAAGTTTTAGAAAATCCCAGTAAGATTTTTCCTTTCTCTTTTGGGAAAAGCAACTTGCAATATTAAGCTAACATGTAGAATAAGAGGCCTTTAAACTGAAATTCATAAGTACTCCAAACTGAAGCAGCATTTTTTGGTTCTTATTCCATCCAACTAGATTTGGTAGACAGTCTTTACATTGTTTCCTCTTTGGTGGGGAGGGGCAGGTAGTCAGTATGAATGGTTAGGGTTTTATATGTTCTGTCCAAGAAAATTTTGCAAAGCTGGGCAAGGTGATATATGTACTTATAGTCTCAGCTACTCCAGGAGGCTGAGGCAGGAGGATCACTTGAACCTACAAGTTCAAGACCAGCCTGGGCAATGTAGTAAGATTTTTTTTAAATCTCACAAGCTTTTAAATGATTGAGGAAAATTACATTATCTGGTAGTTACCATAATTACCATTCAACTTCATCAAGTTTCTATCATCCTTTAGATACTTTCTTAATATTTCCAAATCCATATTTTTGCTATAAAATGGTAACTTTCATAGACAGTATTTCTTTCTCTTTTTTTTGGTACTGCGTATCAAACTCGGGTCCTTCTGCTTGCAAGGCAGGAGTAGACAGTATTTCTTGCTGGCTGTTTTCACACCCAGTTTATTTAAGAAAAATGTATGCAACCTCATCATCCTTTGAAAAGTAGGAATTAACATTATTCTGAACATTGACTTTCTTCCTGAAGTATTTCGTGGATCATTGGTTCTGATTTTATTTTTGTTTCTTAAAAAATCACTAGGGTCTTAAAACATGCTCCATAGTTTGCTAATAGGTGATACCCTAGTTGGGATGCCTCTGGGAGTGTGTTGGAGAGGCTCATGATGGTCTTCAGCATTCTCATTTTCAAGGCTGGTCTGTCCCTCTCTGAAACCCAGGCCCTGCTTCTCGGACCTCCAGACGGGAAACCAGACAGCGGTCAGCCTTGATAAGAGAGGGCATTGTCCAAAGCAGGCTGCCCTGCTTCCCCACCCCACACTCTCCTTCCTTGAAATTTGGTAGTAGTAATAGAGACACAGTGCTGTAGGCCCCATTTCTAAACCAGAACTGGAAGTGTCTTCTCTCAAAAAAAAAAAAAAAGTATGTCTATGTGTCTTTTAACTGGCCCTGCCTTCTGGAATGTAACCATCTTCACTGGAACATAAAAGAAATTATCTGTAGGTTTTGTGTTCCTTGGTCAGTGTTTGTAGGAAACTTCTTTAGCTGAACAGGTTCTCTGGAGGTTTCTGAAACTCACTGCATTGTGTTAGCAGGCTGAAAACATTCTCATCTCCCTGGCTAATTGTTAAGGGGGGCTGGAGACACCAGCAAGTTCCATCACTCATGTGGATTCTGGAACTCCTCAGCTAGCTCTTGCCCTGATTTCTAGGAAGGGGGTGTCTGTCCCCTGAGGCAGTGCCCTTCCCTGAGCTTCCTGAAGAGCCCAGCTTTGTCTGGGACATGCTCAGGGTGGTCACCAGTCTCTGGAAGGTTTGGGGATCTTGCCAGAGATGGTCCAGAGCTGGTATCAGCCCAGATCAATGGGGCTGGGCCGGGCAAGATGGGAGATGGATGGAGGTGTCAAGTCCAGGTCTGTGATTCTACCCCGCAGTGACTGACCTGGGAACCCAGTCGTGGCCTTACTCTTTTGGCCTCTGTGCCATTCTTTCTACTACTGCTGTTCTCTGAGTCTAATCACTGCAATCCACTCCTTCATCTGTTCTTTCACTTTACAACCTGGTACCTTGCAAAGCTTCGCACAGAAAACTGCTTTCATTAGTAAGATCAAGTTCCTGTTCTGCTTAGTTCTGCAAAGAAGGGACCCGTTCTGGCCCAAGCCTTTCTTAAGTTTTCACATTTACTTTGCACTCAGAAGACAATTTTTTAGGCTGGTTTCACCAGCCCCTGGACAGATTTTCCACGGGGCATACCTGATACTCAGTGGTTACAGGTCCTTTGCCCTTCATTTTATTCTTGCCTCACATGTGAGAAGTGTAGTTTGACATCCATCCATTTATTCATCTCAAAAGTATTTATTGAGCACCTACTCATTAAAGCTAATCTCAAATTACATGTGATCATTATTTTGTGTTATGCCACAGGATGGAGTAGGTCTGCAGTGATCTA